AAACGAGTAGAAATCGCTTGCCCGTGAGTCAAAGGCTGTTATAAGAATACTATAGAAGAGCACTAGTCCAGACCAAACCTTTATACAAAAAAGGGATATATATATAAAGAAGTAGGAGTGGTTTACATAGAACGTTAGAGGGTATTCCTTTAGATACAAAGGAAACGGTAAAAATGTGTATTTCCGTTAGACAAAGATAACAAAGAAACGTATGGGAGATAATTTTGAGGAATGTGATTTGGTGAATAATGCAGTGATGAATCATTAGAAATGTTCTAAGCATTTAATGTATGATAAATTCTCTCGGTTTTTCCGACAACTTTATTGTATTTTCTCATTGTGCGACTTCAAAAGTTCTCTAACAGCAGATTTTCGCTTATGGTAGCAGAAATCTTACTACTTACATTGACAATGATACCTTCCAATGAAAATGAAAGACTGGTGGAGGGAGATTTGTGGGGAAAACTAAAATAATCGTTTCAACAAAGAGTTAAGGTAACGAAATAACATCGAGAAACCGTATAAGGATAAGTGTACAGAAGCAATAAGTTGTTAAATCCGATTTCAGAAATTTGCTGATATCAGCACAGCATCGGAATCTCTACGCGGACGTTGACAAATATGACTATCACACCCAAACATTTCAAGCTTTAAGCTTTCAAAATGGAGCACCATTGAATGCTGCAGCAGGTAACATTGATGGACCGTGAAACAAAATTAAGCGTTAGCTGTGCAGGACGATAAACATCGACTTCTCTTATCGCATTTGTATATTTGGGGCAAACCATTATTTTATGGTCCAAATTTCCGCCATGGGAAAAGCACTGCAACGACCTATCTGCACCGGAAGCTCTATCGTGCAATAATTTGTAGTTCCTTCCACCGTAGGTTCGTTGAGTGGCAACATTTAGTATGTCCATACATCTTTTACGAAAAAGAATTAAGTCTTTCTCGAGTTCCTTCTTTACTTCATCAGCATAGTCGTAACAGGCGTAATAAAAAACTATATTTTAAAACACAGTATAGTATCGAGAATTAAAAGCGGCTACCTGTTTGCCCAGCAGACAAGTTATAGGCCAACGGAATATGTTCTGCCAGAACCTTATACCTACTATTCTATTTAAATAAATGAATTAAATCAGTTCAGATAGGATAGTACTCACACCGCAGTATATCCTTTCTCCTTGTCAACTCACATTACCTTACTTTATTAGTCGAAATATGAAATCCACTTACAACTGCAGTCCATATTCACAATCTGGTGATGCAATAAATTCATGAATACTACCGCTGCCAATATAAATTATGACTGCAGCACGTTGGTTTAGTGCTACGAGAACTACACCATGTTTACCAATCAATAAAGTCGCAGTGGAAAGAATAAATTGTTTATCCCATAAAATAATCATGAAATTATCCATAACTATATTAACATGGTTGATGATGATCAGCTTCAGAACAGTAACAATCTTCATCATTATGATATTACCAGTTTGAATTTTGTGTTGAAGCGCCCCACTCCTGTTGCTGTGCGGTGTCCAGCTGCACGGCTCGCTCCGTTTCTTGTGCCCAATCACTCACAGGTTCGACCATGCTGAAGTCCAACTTTTTCGCTGGTTCGACGCCAGCTATTGTTTGGTACTGAAACTATTCAAATAAAAAGTCTGCAAAAAAATTGACTGAAATTTTGCACGAAAAAGTAACTTCAGGGCAGAAAAAAATGGCGAAAAAGATACAAGCAATATAAGGAAAATATACCAATGAAAATTTTTATAAGCTAACAACGTTTTTACACAATAGTTGCATTAAACTGAAAAATGAAAAAACAAATCAAAGGGAGTAAGAAAAGGAATTAAACAAATACCATTCCAATGGATCTTACAACCTCATCAATTTTTGCGACCTCAGGAGGAGGGACCCCAGGCCAAGGCTCCTTTACTTCACGCGTTTCTACCAGTTCTTCTTTTTCTTGTTCTTCTGGGTTGCGATAAAAATATAAGTCAGGCATGATTTCCTTGTCATCAAGTATAAATCCTGTCTGCCGTGTCATCTTGCCCTTAATAAGCAAAACTTCACGAGCCAACAGCCACCACATCAATCCTATTGATTGCACACCCTGTAAAGCAATCAAGTAATCCAAAAAACGATGGTAAAATTTTTGAAAGTTAGGACGTTAAAGCATCCGCATACATATATTATAAAAAAGAAATGAGTACAAAAGTTACTTTAACAACTAACACAAACCTTATTATTGCACGGTATTGCAATGTCGATAAATTTCAACGGTGAATCCGTATTACAAAAACTAATTACTGGCACACCAACATATGATGCTTCCGTTACCGCTTGGTGATCGACACGAGGATCAGAAACAATCAGCAGACGTGGTTCCTAAAACAGAAAAGTTAAAATCCTTTACAGCGAACTAAAATAAGTGACGGAAAATTCTCACAATTCAATCCTTTAAAGATAAATAAACTGCAACTAGTGACCCAAAGTAAAAGCAAATTATCAATTTCGATACAATGAGTGACCTTAAATTGCTTCTGGATTTGATTGGTTAAACATCCGGGTGTAAAACGTCCAAAAATTGGTGTAGAACCGGTGTGAGCTGCAAATTTGAGTAAAGCACGCTGCGCATATGGACGTGCCGATACGACACACACGTCTGCCGGGTTATCAATGGCTGCAATCGCACGGGCAGCAAGTAACAGTTTTTCCCATGTCTTTCGTAGATGGATGATGTGAACACCTGCAAAGCAATATTCAAGCACTTCACTCAAATGTCTGTTCAGTGCATGGATGATGGCTACAGTTTGACGATCTGCTTGGTTACATAAATCCTCTCAGTAAGTGATGCATAAACAGGCAGCATCGTACAGCAGTATGAAGAAAATACACACTTAACAATCATTATATGGTAAAGTACAGTCACCAAAACGATATTTCTAAATAATAATAATAATTATAGAAGAGAGATCCTATTAAGCATTTGCAGTGAAAGTAAATAGACGTTCAAATTGCGCGTGACGGTAAGAACAGACCATCAGCTCTCCTTTTCCATACGTACTGCTCCATTTGAAAGTCACAGTTGGCAGCACCTACATGAGTTTGACATGCCAAAAGTTTTATAGCATCTTCTTCTTTCAAGGCAAACGATTCCAATCCCGCTGACATCGTTAAGAATCACTTCACCTGCAACATCGCAACGTTACTAACGCACAAGTTCGCTTACTCTCCACAGCACCACCTCACATTTCTCCACCGGTACAACCCCGCCATCCCCAGGAACCATACCGACCAACGCAGCATTCATTTTTAGGTTTCAGCAGTTACACCAATCTCTCGGTTCCATAAATGTTCCGGTTCCATCTACCAATGCAACTTCGCGTCTCAACATTAAAAAGGAAAGTGGCCAGTGTTTTTGTTATTCTTTAATTTAGCTTTACTTCGGCGAGTTAATGAGTAATAATGCTATCAAGTGTAATTTTATGGAATTTTAGATTATTATATAGATCGCAGATCACCGTCTTTCATCACTGACAGTGCCAGTTGCATCCATCCTGGTATTTCTCGTTGGTTAGCAGTTGAAGGAAGTTTTCGATGAACATAACTGTTGTAATCTTCAGTCTTAGTTTGATATACTTTTTTGGTAGTAACAAGACTGTAAGAAATTCACTTATGTGTTATTATCGTATTTCGGAGAAATCCATATATCGGAAAGTTGCTTTAATTCTCGTACGTTAATTGATTCGTTGACTTGCTTTTTTCTTACATCAACTTCACTTGATAACAAGCATTAGTAGACTTTAGAAATTCAGAAGTAATAAAATGAGGCAGAAAATGTTGGCCTGGAAACGCTTTGATAGTTTGGCAAAAGGTCGAAATAGAAGGTAAGCACTGTGACATCTTATCATTGCTTTATTTCAGTTAACTATGATATCGAGCATTGGATGTTTTTCCTCGTGGTGTATCGAAAGACCTTGCTGAATTGTAAGATCTTTGGCAATTTGGTAACAGCTAAGGATAACTCGTATCACCTCTACAGTAGTCTTTGAATAAAAAGAACGAAGTTTTCGTTTTTTTTTCAAATAAGAAAAACGAAGGTCGTGTTTGTTTTCTAAAAGCTAAAATTTGAATTTATTATTCTTTGGGCTTTAACTGTTTCCATTTTGATTTTAATCACTTTCATTCCAGAGTTCTTAACGTATCAATGGTATTTCGAAGTCTGTTTCGACGACAGTTCCTGTTTAACAAGAGCAAAAGAGTTACTTATGCTTATTTTGTGAATCTCTAGTAGCTACTCCATAAATATTTAACAGCCCAAATACACCAAAGTAAACTTGCTTTCAGATGGTCCCATTTAAACCATGATACTTCGGAGATTTCTTAAATTTGTTTCTAGCTTCCAGAAGTTGATCACAACATATTGTTCACCAGCTTTACTTTTAATCCAGTTGAAGATTTTCCTGCATTTTCCTATTCTTTCTTTTTCAGTTCTTATCGGTTGGAGTTAATGAAGAAATACTAATAGAGAATGTAAACGACAAGCTAATTGTGACATTAAATCGGCCAAAGACTTTGAATGCTTTAAATATCAGTATGGTGCGCAAATTATATCCGATGCTGAAGGTTTGTTGTAGCATTTGTCTATAACTTAAAGTCAGTCTGCGTGCAGTAGTTCTATAGCTTTGTATCTGATTATGAAAATCTGATCAATATAACAACAGAGGAAGGTACAGTGATTTCGGGTACCCTAGGATGTTGTGCTGAAATCAGTTTGAATTCGAACTCCATCGTTGAACACATCTTTGTTGTAGAAGGGACAAATTTCTTGATTCTTCATAGCTTGTTGAAGTCTTATCTGCAGGTTCCACGGGTGAAAGGGGCATGTTTTTGTGGGATTTGTTTTCTATGTTCAGAGCGGTCATCACTGCCTCAACACTCTTGGGACCTGCGATCCACTAAGATCTGAGTTTCAAGGTGCAGAGATTTGAATTGAGCAGTTGCAGAATGAATAACTATTTATATTTCCTATTCTTAAGTCATATTTATTCCGTCTAAGAAGTAATGACGACTGGCTGAGAGCTGTTGTAACATGAAAGGAACCTATTTATCATTGGGTAGACAGGTACAGTGATCAGTCTTTTCTAGAAGCGCAACAGTGATCCAAATGTACCGTTTATATTTGTCAAAGGAGCAGGTGGCAAGGCGTTTTGTGCTGGTGGCGATGTTATTGGTGAGTGTTGTTTTCATTCTTAGTGAGCAATGATATTTCACATATTTCTTCCAATAGTTTTGTGTTTGATTGTCGTATAATTAATTTCTTTTAATTTCAATTGTTAGCTGTGTCACGTTCTGCTCGAGCAAATAATCCATCAGATACAATATACAAAGATTTCTTTCGCGAGGAATACGTGATGAATCATTTGATCGGTGTTTTAAAAGTTCCATATATCGCCGTAATGGATGGTATCACAATGGGAGGGGTAAGTTCGTTATATCCAGTGAAATTTTCATCATCAATGTAATTGACTTACTAAAATATTGGTCTCATATTTTTATCCCTATCATTGCACTTAGTTAGCTTGAGTTTTTTGCTTATGCATATAAAAATATCAGTTTTATATATTAACAGTGGAAATAGATTCAGTGTTTAATGCTCAGTAAGTGTAGGATCGATTTCCTATTTTCATTATTCTATCTAAATACTCACTAATTTAATTAACTATCCAAAAAACATAAGCTGCTCCAAAAGTAGACTAAGGTGCAATTATTAACAAATTTTTATGAATTTGAAGGGTTGTGGTCTTTCTCTGCACGGGAAGTATAGGATAGCAACAGAACGAACAATACTAGCAATGCCTGAAACTTCTATTGGTCTTTTTCCTGACGTCGGAGGTATTACAATTTTCCCAGCAATGTATTTTGTATTTGTAAATTAAACACATTACGAAGTAATTACTTTGTAATGTGTTTAATTTCTTTACTTTCAATGTTTAACTCTCGAAGGAGTAATATATTTTGTATTTTCAGGAACATTTTTCTTGTCACGATTACCGTATAATTTGGGTCAGTTTATAGCACTTACAGGGTATCGAGTGATAGGTGCCGATGTTTATCATATGGGTCTCGCTACTCATTTTGTTAGTCTTGATAACAGTGGGATTTTGTTTTATACTGTAAATTTCCGAAGAAATTTAGTTTTCATATATTTACCAATTGGATTCCATGTAGAACCTACATAACTTTCAAGCATTAATCACGCTTTGTAAATTTTCCTCATATTCCTTTGGTAAATTTAAGGACTTAATTCACGTCAATTTTTAGATTCCATCGGAAAAACTGAAGGATCTTGAAGATGAACTGCTCAGGACAGATAATAAATTGCTTTCTGCAGGAAAGATAGACCACGTTTTGAATAAATACCACATGAAAGAAAGTGAAATACCCAAGTTTGGTCTTGAAAAACGACTTGCGCAAATTGATCATGTGTTTAGCGGCAGTACAATAGAATCTGTTTTCAAAAAATTGCGGAATAATGAAGATGATTTTGGCAAGAAACAATTTAGTATTCTTAGCGCAAAAGTACCATTTTTTGAATTTTCCACTAAATTGTTCGAACTCATGAAACACTTTAAATATTACTCTAAGAATAAACAAAGACAATTATTTGCATTTAAGAATAATTCAGAGTCCAACATCACTCAAAGTAACTTTCCGACAATTGCAAATTGGTTTGAAGATGCAGTTTCGTGAAGTTTTCACAATGGAATATCGTCTTTCCCAACGTTTCATGAAAAACCATGATTTTCATGAGGGTTGCAGAGCAAGTATATTTCACTTTGCTTTTCTATAGAATTATAGCTAATCCTTCCAAAGATAGGAGCTATAAGTCAACTTAAAGGTTTAAAAGTTATTCAGGTAATTAGACTGGGCTTTTTTATTTTGTTTTTCTCAGTACATGAGTTTCAGTTCTTATCGATAAAGATCAGAAACCGGAGTGGAAACCAACTAACATAGAAGAGGTTACAGATGAAATGATGGATGAATATTTTGCACCTCTTGAGGAGAATGAAGACTTGATTATTAAGGAATCGGAAACTTAAAATTTGGTGTGCCTTAAAGCTTATTTCCTCTTCTTCCACAAAACTGTTATATTGTTTAGCATTTGTAACTTTTACAAAGAAAACATTGCTTAGCTTCAATATGAGCGAGGACAGTTTTTATTTGGAAACGAGCTTTTACCAGATTTCTATATTTTGCATGGTTCTGGATACAGTTCTGTCTAGGTGGATCAGCTGGAGACATTACCTACATCCCTTTTAGTTTTTCCATTATTAATAGGATGAGTTTGCAAACTTTCCTAATCATGGTGTTGTAAAGCGTAAAGTCGATTTCCCAGTAATTTATAGTTCTTGGTTGTATTTAATATTTCTAGTTAATCCACATTATTCATTGTCTTTCATATCACCATAGTTAGGGACACCGTTTCTGTTTTTCAGTAATATCCAATTTCTTAGAAACATCATTTCTTCTTTTTATTGAAATCTCAATGATGGTGGTTACGCTGCGATTTTATGACAGTGATATTAGCTAAATGTCCATCAAGGAATATGGAAACCTCGTTGGGATCTGAGAAGCCCCTTTCTTTTCTTAAAAAATGTCTCTTCCGCACTACTCATATTTCATTTTTGTAAAACTCCCAAGTTGTTATAAGTTGCGTCAGTTTCCAAACGTTCAATAGGCTTTCCAGAATGTGTGCGCCAGAAGATATCATGATCTGACTTGAGGACTCTTGTCCATAACTTTTTGCAACTAGCAAAACAGGCATGTTTTTTCTAGCTTCCAACGTGATATTCTACCGTCAGGATATAAAAAACAGTTGTGCTTCGCAACCTTTATACACATCAAAATTTTCTGAAATTCGTAGACATTTCCTTTTTACCGTGCAAGAATTTGAACTTGAAGAAGAAAACACCTTTTATACAACAAGAAAATCAAACAAAAAGGGAACGAAAACAATCAGAAAAGAGCAAATAAATGAAAATGTTACTTGAGAGCAGATAAAGATTTCTCACAGAAGAGTGGTTTGTGTTGCACTCTTCTCTAATAAATAAGAAACATGGTCGACTCCGCATAAATAAATGCAAGAAGGCGTAAAAATTATAACATTGAGGAATCTAGATGAAGCACTCAGATGAGAAATGTTTTTTCAAAAAGTTTATCCAATCTAAGGAAAAGTCATAAATGAAACAGCGCGGACTGGAGAAAGGAAGGAGTGGAAATTGGCCTCATGAACAGCAAAAAATCTGTGCGGACCGATGACCTAAGTAGAAATGCGAAGAGATTCTTTATTACGTAAGTCCTTGCTCATTAAGAATCTACTCGTGAAAACATCGTCATAAAAATCTGACCGACTGCATATAACACAGACAACGAATTGGAAGCCTTGTTCTTATGTGTTTATAATCTAAACAGTGTGCAAATAAAATTGAAAACTAAATATTTGGTTTTTCATGTCAACCGAGTAAACATTTTTTTTCAGTCTAAGTAATTTATTTCATAACCTTTTGCTTTTCGCATTTAACATAGGACGTAGAATACTAACAAGTACAAGTAGATATGCTCATAGGAAAAAACAAATGTCTTTACAGAAAACTGACTACCCACGACGAGAATCTCATATGATAAAAACGCACCGCGATTATGTCATTCACTGGGAAATACTCTTAAAAAAACAAAATGCAAAAAGAATCAACAAATGCAATACAAACACACGAACAAGGAAAATTAGATACTAAGTGAGAATTTCGTAGAACTATAGAAGCTCTAGAAGGTCCGATCCACCTTCGCTATTCTCGTGACATAGCCAATTACCGTGTAGTAAATTCAGAAAGAAAGACTTCGGTCAAAAAAAAAAAAACACTATGCATTAAATCATTCCTTCAAAAATGCAAATTAAGAAAAAACAAAAAGTAGTAATCCCGCATAATTATCAATTGCATAACCTTTACTGTAAGCAAGAGAACGTTTTTATACATGTTGATAAGAGATGTAATTGATAATTATGCTTCGTAAAGGTTTTTTGGTACATGAGTAACGAAAAAGTAAATTAATGTAAGGAAACATCGTCATACAAATAGGAATTACTTTAATCTATAATAATTAATATTCAGTTCCAATATAAGACTGAGGTTTAAGAGGCGGAAAATAAATGGCTTGAACTTCTCTGATAAGCCGTACCATCAGCTCACCGAATTTTCATCAGTCGACTTCGTCTTATCCAATGAGGAATAGAGCGTGTCGTTGTCAGCAAATTCTTGCTCGCTCGTTACTGCAATATTCAGTTTGCTGACACTATCCTGTTGTGGCGCAAGCAACTCCTGAAAGCGCCAAGAAAGATACAAGTAGACCATAATGGAGCAAGGAAATGATGAATACGAAGAGATTTCTAAACGGCCTAATCACATATTCCTACAAAGATTAAACATACTAATGGAGACTTCATCGGAAATTTGACAGAATATCATGTATTCCAAAACATAGTCTCTGTCTCAATCGCGCAAACCAATACACTGATACCTCATTAGTCATGACGAGTTGCTGACATACATAAACGAAACGTCAGGTCGCAAAAAGGCAAAGGGAATAAGACATAAGACTTTAATGAACTTGACAGTAGATTTTTAATACTTCCATAACCCGAAAAAAAAAAACCCTTAAATGCATTAGGAATCATAACATTACCTCATTAGGTTCAACTGCAACAGGCGATGGCTGTGGGGTAATATATGTTTCACTGTCCACGCTGGTTGCATCACCAGCTGCAGATTCTACAGGTTTTCGTGAACAACGTGCTATGTATGCTTCTGGTGTGTCTTCTTGTAACAAACAAACCAAAACTGCGGTCATATTATCACAACCAAGGCCTCCCATCTGGCAATCTGGTGCTAGACATCTCGTAAGAAGTTCTTCACAAACCTACAAGTTATAAGATGATATTTCAAATACATTAAAATTTTTGCAGGTTAATGTGACCAAGGGAAATACAACCCTCCAAAGCCCGTCAAACTTATAAGATATTAAAGGTAATCAATTAGTTTCTGAATGGATGCAATAAATGTTTTTGTCTGCTACAATCAATTAGCGGAAAAGAAAATAATCATTCATTGCGTCATTAAAGAATTGAGTGAAAAAATATTGTAACTAGAGACAAATGGAGCAAGATATGAAAGCTATAAGTGTACATTAAAATGTAGAACTAAGAAAAAAATCCATAAAAAAATAAAAATCTACATAAAAATGTAGAACTATATAAAAACAATTGCTGCTCGAACTTTCTTCGTGATACTTATGTTGCAAAGTGGAAAAATATTTCGTATCTTATTGACCACTTTTAAACGTATACATGTTTTTTAGCTGCTGCTGACATGTGAAGTCAGAATGTTGCACGATCTAAAAATTATGAAACATCACGAAAACATCGTAGCAACATCGTCAATACTGTTTCAATAATAATAGATAGTCTGGTCATTCTCCTTCATTAAACAAACAGCTTCAATTCACCAGCTCTTGGCAAGGAATGAAGTTCTTAGCATCAACAATATGTATCGAGAAGTTAAGTTTGGCTGATGCAGGACATAACCAGAATTTCCCTTCAAAAAATCGAAGACATGAATTCCAAATTCAACCAGACTGAATGAACTGTTCAAAATCGCTTGATTCTGTCTACAAAGAAGAATGACGATGGAAACAGTGACAAAGATTCTGAATCAGTACATATTCAATGATTTTTAACCTATCAGAAACAAAAAAGATGTGTAGCCCAAAATACAGGGTTCAAAAGTGGGCAAGACAGAAACAGAGCACTTAGGAACTGAAACAAAACTACAATATATGAGATAGAAAGAAAAGAAAATGGGACAACAAAAAAATTTTGAACAAAAGAAAATCCGGGAATAATTTTTTTTTCTCGTGCAATGAGATAATGGAAAAGTTCTGGAATCAAGGTTTTTTATAAGAACGAACAAAAAAACAATAACTTACTGCTTCAGGTTCACAACCAGCAGCCAACCTATCTCTGCAAAACTCTACAACTTCCTGGTTTGACATGACGTCCCAAATCCCATCACAAGCCAATATAATAAATTCATGGTTATATGTCAAATCGCACACCGTAACATCGGGACATGCTTAAAACATAAGTTTTGAGAAGAAAATATATACGCTTTCCAAAACCCTCTTTGGAAACAAATAATAAGATTTTTACTTTCACTTTACTTACTTTCTTTCAAAAGGAGCTTTGCTAGGAAAAAACTCGCATCTATTCGAAATATAAATTAACTAAAAAGATTTTAATGAATAATATCAAATCAAATACCCGTACAAAAATTTAACAAACGTACCGGTCACAATTTGTTCTTCCGGGGATTTATGATCATTTTTTTTAAACGCAAAATCACCCAAAGCTCGAGATAATGCCAAATTACCATTGACACGGTTAAATTCAACCCAACCACCAGCAGCGACTATTCGCCTCGCCTCATTCTCATTTGCTGGCTTGTGGTCAAAGCTTAGTGGATATGCAGCACCACTGACACACGCCACAGCTCGTGAATCACCCACATTACCTAAAATTCCATGTCTTTTTAATTCCACAAGGGGGACATTAATAACTGCTACTCTTCTGAATTTAGATTTTACACACAAAAACAAAAAGACTGTAAAAACTGAACACGACTGAAAAAAAATGGAAACGGGCAACAGTAAAACAATCCATATGATATTAGTCGTAATTCTAATTAACCAACCGCAATAAATTTTCTTGTTTTTAATCAGGACGACTACGGCAGTTGTACCCGACATATCATCGCGCATTTCATCGTCGTTTCTCATTTTCTCATCCAAAGCCAAAAAACCTTGCTTTATCGCTTCTTCAATATTACCCTCTGCTGCAAATTACTCAAACTGTAACATAACATTGGACCTATGTGAAAAAAAAGTAAATTAAAAAACTAAATTCAAAGAACTGATACGCTTGATAATAAACTTCACGCTTTAAACTTGAAGTTTGATAAACCGATAAAGGTTGGAATCAGACGACGCCAAATTTACAATTTCAATGAATGCTGGATTCAGACCTAATATCCATTCAGATCTAATCATTTATAACAATCAAAGAAAACAGTGAAATTAACCATAATGTGCATTGGTGGCGATAAGTTTATGAAGGTGAATGCCGGCGTACTGTGACACCTTGGCACCACCGTGACCATCGTAAACTGCAAAAAAAGCTGCTTGAGTGTCATCTGGCACGGCTAGCAGATGAATATGAGCATCTTCCATATCTGCAATATTCAATCCTTTATAATCTTAGCTTTAAGAAAGTGGCTGCAAAACAGAACAAGCGTTTCTCCCATTAATTTCGAGTCAAAATTTGTACGAAAACTTACTGATTCTCCATCCTTGCATGCATGAACTACCTATTTTATAGAACAGATTAGCACAGGACGCAGTTTCCTTCGTTGTTACAGGCTCACTCAATGTCTGGCCCATTATTGTATCTGTAAATATTTCAATGGTTTAAATTTAATTATAGCGACAAAGAAATCTAAACCAATGAAAACAGAGATGTCCAGCTGACTTCCTATTTTAAATTATGATTCTAACGATGGATCGAGTTTGAATAACCAAGGTGAACCCTCACTCAAACAACTCTCCATACTTCCGAATCATTCGGTTGTTCTTAAGTGTAACATCTGTGGTGCATTATAAGTGCTTATGATAGTCTGCATAATAAGGTTTACACAACATGAAGCGGAAGAGTCGGTAGCAAGCGGAGAAGCACAAGAAGCAGTCCAGGCCTGTGATCCCTGCCTCAGCAGAACTCACAGCTGTGCCATTGTTTATATGACCTTCACCGAACGACTAGCCCAACCGAAGTTTATCATGACCCCACTGTGCCACTAAGTATGAATCAGCCCACGTGAATGCTTGAAATCAAGTAACTGAGGTTTCAAGCAAGCTGCGTCAACTTCTGTTACCACTGGTTTCTGTTAGACTTGAAAAAAACTTCTAGCTAACTTGAACAGTTAACATTTTCCCAATGAAAACTAGAGAATACCATCGAGATTGGATTCTAGTTAGGTCAAGGAAAGATGGATAGGCCAAGGATAAAGGATATCCGATCCCATGAACGATGTTGGATCAGAAGTTGGCGCTGTCTAATGATAATGAAGAATCAGTACATGTGTGAGTCTGAATGTGAGTCCGAATAAATGATATTTGACGGTAATAATCAATCATAGTTCGAGATCGCTTCATCCAATACATTTCTATCCCAATCAACAAAGAAAGGATGGCCACCCTGGTACATCTTCACGTCTATGAACCACGGTCTTCAGCCTCCCTATTCAAAGTATTCGTTAAATGGCTTTTTAATAAATATAATATATAAATACGATATACATGACTTAGTATGATACTAGTAAATGAGCAATCAATATCCACTCATCATTGTGTTACCTTTGTTTTCACAATTGCATCATTTTACCCTTAAAAGCTATTCAACTAATTTCGTTCTTTGAATTTTATCAAGAGAATCAATGTTCAGGGAAGCGGATTGCACCAAGTCTGAAGCATAACCCTTCTAAACGTATATGCCAAGTTCCAATGCGATGATAATATTATTGCGAGTAACTGACCAGTCAGATAGGAGCACGAATGCACACGGAGTAGAACGCATTTTGCTTGAAATCTTATTTCGTTACTATAGAAATAAATATCTACAAATGCAGCCCAGAACTTCTCAATTTCCACAGAGTTGATTGTTGCATCAATTCTTCTTAGTTCTGTAAATCTTAATTTAAAAAAAAAATGCAATGAAATTTTGTTGAATTGAATATATTGCTTCGTCATATTTTACAAAAGTGCTTCCTCTCTGAAGCCAATTACAAAACAGGATCAGAATATGACGCGAAGCAGAGTAAAGAATTTAGGTTTGTACACAAAAGGCATGGATAAAATGAATGCATAATAACCTTTAAAGATCCAGAAGACAGAATGTATCATCATACAATTTACAGTAATTTTTGAGAACAGCTTAAAAAATGATTCCGCATGAGTAGCGATGTATTAGTCAATTAGCTGTACCTGGTCAGCTCAGTTAGTTAATTGGAAAAGAGAAAGCGCACGTTTCTTATATGTTTAATTTCACAATGCTTGTGAGTATACAATATTTTTTGTTGTCCCATTGTCTGTGCAGATATAGAGATTGTCTAGTTTGTCGATTCTAGTACACGCAACATATAATTCTCCATGTGAGAAGCAGTCCGTGTCTAAATTTGAATCGCGCAATTCTAAAGATTGGCCCTGAGCTTTGTTGATAGTCATTGCAAACGTTTATCGAATTGGGAATTGCAATCTCTTAAATTAAAATGGCATATCCTTTGGAATCATAGGAATACTAGGAATGGGGATATCACACCACCATTAAAAAGCCTCTGAAGATTGTTGCTTCTACGATGTTGTCACCAATTTTTTGACTACAAGCCGCAAGCCGTTGCAAAGCTTTGGCTGATTGATATTTCACAACACGATAATTGGCACACCGATTTTCAATTGCAGTGGGGTGATATCCCTGATAGATTGAGTAAATTCAAAAGATCTGTTGAATAATTAACCGCTTCATCTGCTTCCACAACAATGTCGACAGAGTTGTATGTGACCGCCCCGCTTTGAATATTAAACTGAATAACATTGTTAAGTTCGTAGACGTCTCTGTTTTCGGCTGCAAGAACAACTCGTCCACTCAGCGATTCTTATAACTGGTTTTAATAGTGAGAAATACTTTTTCAATCCTTCTTTTGACTCACTAAATTGCACAAGTTGTGAGGCAATGGAATTCATTCTGAGGTCAGATTAACGACAAAAAAAAAGAAAAAAAGATATTAAAAACACGCGTATATTCAAGTGCAACGCTGCTAAAATTTCAAAGCAATGAAAAACTTTCAGAGATTTGAGATTTTGAACAAACGAACATTTACATCTTCACTTTTATAGATTTATGCACAAAATAAATTGATGAGATCATTGAGTGACATAATGAATTAATGACAAACAAAATCAGGTACATATTTCAGCTGAGAGCCTTGAAAACGCATGAAAAAAGGAATGCTGCATAACACTTCCATAATATGCACCAAGCCTAATGAAGTCCCAGCAATTCAAATCATTTGAATTATTTTGGAAAGCAGAATTATGTAAAGTACAATTTCCAACGAAAAAAATTTCCTAAGAATGCTAAGTTTAGCAGCCAGGATCAAAAATAAAACATCAAACTTTGAGAGTCCTGATCAGCAATTTTTACTTTCCAACACCTGAACAATGACTCCCAGAACGCACAGCAGAATTACTTCGTGTGCGAACAACGTTCACAGAGAGTCCTTTTGTTGCTTCATATCTGCGTCTTTGTGCTACACTGAATATGAATTTCGTGAATCAAGTGCATTACAACAGAAACAAACTCTATATATTAAAACACTGTAAGGCAAACAATTTGACTAGTAAAATCGTGTTTCACCAACTGCGAAATTTCGGCTCACCTTTACGCTATCAGTTGGATAATTTTATTAAAAATGAGCATCAATTCTTCAGAAAATTATTTTTGTCTCATCATATTTCCTTTTATAAGGCTTATAATTTACCTCACTTGTTGAACACGGTCTCCAATTTTTTTCTCCTTTGAAACTTTCCCTAAAAGCAGAAATAATTTATTACAAGACCATACAATATTAACAAACTGCAAATATTTGATTGAAGAGAGTCGAAAAAATGTAAGTGAACCCTTAATGCATTTTGGCGTACTAAGACGAGTAAAGAAAGCATCAACTTCAGTAGCAGTTCTTCGACCTTCAACACCTTTTGCTTTTGTAGATGAGGAAGTCTTCATTACCGGAGATGAGGATATGATAACAGGTTTGGTCTAAAAATATAGCATTCAACAAATCTAAGCAAGCTGTTTGTACATTTCATTCCTTCTCCTCTTTAAAATTTTTGCAAGTAAGAAGTACCACTAATATTTTTCATTAAACTGAAATTATCTCTATCTCTAGTAATTTATAAATCAAGCCATACCTTGAGCATTAAAGGAGATATATTTGGTACATCTCGTGCCACTCCCGTGTCAACTGAAAATTAAAAATATTTGTAATAACTGTAACGATTGGTTCTATACGTTGATTTGGACAACTAAATAAGAACAATGTATTGCAGGAAATTTACCGTGCGAAGAATTGCGTTCCATAGAATCGCCTCCTCTTGCACATCTTGTAACTGCAGTACGAAACTGCTGCTCCGTTTCAAGCGGTGGTAAACGATCTGAAATATTTAACTACATCCAATTCTTTAAACAGTCAAGTTGAACTGGAAATATTAAGTCATATTTCCTAAAGTTCATTCCTGACCCACTGTAAAACCAAATACTGAACAGCATGACAAATAAGAAAACCATCTTTCATAACCAAGTATCAATTACCATTACAGTTATGCACACAAAGTGGGTCAGAGAGTTTGTTGTTGCGAGTCTGACTTCGTGACTGATGTTCTGTTAAGTGTAAATTTGCCTAAAAAATTAAAAATCATAAATGAATATTCATTCCATACAAAATATAACACAGCACTGTAAAAAATTAAATGGAAATTTCAGGCGAAACTATTGACACCAACATCATCCTGAAATGCTATGCATTTCCAACAAAAAGGATTTTGAAAAGTTACTTCCGAAACATCATCAATAGCATTTTCTCTCTCTTCTTCCATGAAGGTTTGTGAAGTATTTGTAGATACTGAAGAGGATGATGGTTCACTTCCTTTTCTGTTTTCTCCAAATGAAATTTCTTTGCGTCCATTTTCAGTATTCGAGGAACTCTGATTAATTAATGAGTGGTTATCAATATCCATACTGTAATAAAAATATGATCTCTTAATTAATCATGACTGACCAACCAACAATCAATGTAATTATACAGGATGCAGATAAAATGAATGTGTATATGATTATGCACGAGAAGGTCGTGAAGGTTATTATTCCTGGTATGATACCATATTTCTGGTATGATACCAGAAATAATAACCAAGAACTTGAAAGGAAATGTCACACGCATAAACACAATGCACTGACCGAGAACAAGGGACAATAAGCCAATAAGCCGATACGACTCCAAAAATAACAAAAAAGCTTGATAGTTAAGAGAAAATTACAATTCCTATTTATTGTTAATAATCAATCAATCGAAGGAGGGGAAAAGGAGAGATCATGGAACAGCTGGGAAGGCATCAGGGGCTGTACCTCATAAACGAAGTCACTGCCCAACCGACCCTTCCTTCAAATGACAATGAAATGAAGAAAAAGCAAAACAACTGCGCAGTATATCAGACAGTACCGCGAAAATTTCAAATCGCAAAAGGTTGTCCCGATGTGCAACGAACGGTCTCGCCCACTAGAAATGACCATACGGGAAGCATCCACCACGCTCGCTGAAAAACTCGGAATTTTCTGGGCAAATCGAAGTGGAAGATCTTTCCTGGAAAGATTTGGATCTAATATCATCAACAACAAACCGTGCGCCTCCAACCTCGTTGAAAATGACTCCATCGCTGTCTTATTTCTCCTACTAGTCCATATCAACTAAACTTGAATTATCTCAGCCTCTTTGCTCGTTAGTCATTTGCAACAGTTAAAGAATCCATCCATCTTTGTCCGTTTTTATATCTTTCTCCGACGCATTGAAAGACAATGTTTTCATTGGAATCTGATAAATCACCAGAAATAAATAACATTCAAGATATGCTTCTCTGCCCCCACTTCGATAGATTTATACGTTTCTGAAGTCTTTCACACCTCTTCAGCCATCTTCTACCGCCTCATATTCTTCACATTTTATTATTACAACGAAATTTCTGCAGAAATCCTGTGCGAGCAATCTGTAGAGATCTGCATCTTTTTCATTTACTAACTACATAGTTACTACTTTCTTGCTTTTTTGGATACAAAACAGCGCACAATATCCTGAAAGATGAACTGAGCCGCAATATATTTGTCCAGCTTCTCTCATTTCATATAAAGATGGAAGAGATCTTATTCCTAGCCATCAGTGAAAGTCTGGTTAAATTATTGATGAATCCCCAGCTAACAGTTTCCACTGCTCGCATGATATAAGATCACAAAGCCTTAGCTCACATTTCTTTTCTATAAGCGAACATGCAAAGCTTGTAAAAATCTACTGTAGCAAAATAAACAATCAAATGATGCAACGGAAGTGAATAAAAAACTTCATTCCAACATTACTTGTGCTGATAGATAACAGACTAAGTTAACAACCTCGTATTAAATTATCATACTTCACAATCTGTTCTCGGGATTGGGAATACTTTTTTTAAACCGTTTCAAAATTTTGCATATCTTTATTTTAAATTCTAAAATTGGGGAAGATCTGTAGAGTTCAATCGAAATCCAATGTAGAAACGAAATAAAAGATTAAAGCTCATATACTTTCAGGCATTGATCACACGTGCCAATTTTTGTATACGATTCAGGAGGATATCACCATCCCTGGAAAAAAAATCTGTACTTGAGAAGTTACTTCTCATTCAAAATCCTATTAAAATTGAAATTCTACCGAACATCTAATTCAACGAAACCAATTCAAGAGTTTAGCCACTATGTCAAAAAACGTGCAAAAAAGGAAGGACAACATACTTAATAACGCTGCGATAAAGATGATTTTTAGTATCAGGATGGTTCATTATTATGATTCCCTTGACAGCATCTATTCTGCAGTGCAGTTGACCAGTGGCAATCAGTCGATGTAATTCTTTGTCAATGAATTCTTTCGAAACACCGAAATCTTTTGCCATCATATCTAAACGAACCTAAAACAGGGAAATCTGCATCGCACTTTCCTTCAATATATTTCAGGTTTAAAGTTTGAGCAGCAATACGCGCATGTTAAAGACAAAAGACAGCTTGACTAGTATATCAGTTTACCTTCATTATCATCTTACACACCTGCACAGTTAAATTTTTTATTACAGTAATACAACTGGAAGAAATTGATGAAAACTGAGGCTTACCGTTTTATACGGAGTAAGAAACTGTTCGTAAGCTTTGAGACGCATTGCTCGCGAGTAAAAATTATAATGTGGTGCTAAATAGCGATCAAATTTTAATCGCTCTCTTTCCAACTTCGCAAGCACTACGAACAGTTCATCATATCTACACCCGTAAAAGGCCTCCAAATATTGCTTTACAGATACCAATTCATTGTTTTCACCACCACCAGTAAGCTAAATTTACGAAATTTATAAATCTTGAAAACATTACAATTAAACATAGTTTTAACATCAAATGCAAATAAAGAATTGCAAAAAAAATGACCATTGCTAATCAATAAAAATTAACAATAAATCATATTTAAGATGAAATTAATGAATGAAACAAAACTGACCTGTTCCTGGATTTCATTGCATCTAATAACTTTTGTGCGCAAATCAGGACGTTCTAACGCTGGAAAAAACTGACATGTTTACATTTTTACACTTAAGATTTCTGCCAGTAACAAAATATGAGGGATCACTTACCGTATACAGCCGAAATAACTGTATAGAATATAAGCTGTTCATAGGTCATAAGTTCGTATGAACCAAAGGTTGGCACAGCTTCCAGAAAAAGTGCTGCAGCTCCCTTCAAATCTCTCACCGACATCTTATAAAGACCTTCGTAAGATCGAAGACGATTTTTTCGCTCCCAATCACCACCCTAAATGATTCTGTTCATAAAGTATGTTAGCATTACTGTACTAAGCCGTATAGGACTCAGGTTACCCGAGATGGCAGTAACTTTGCTGTTGCTAGGATGTCTAATAGAGAATTTATAATACTGCAAGAAACTGCCTAAAACCTGTTCCATGAGATTCTTTGCTTTAGCAATATTTGCATTTATCAGCTGATGATCCAAAAAGAAAAGACCAAGTCGAATAAGATTGAAAATAAGATCAATTCTATAGCCAATTCCGACAGTTTTTTCATATGTTTGTCTAAACGATATGACCGCTGCGTCTTTATCACCAATTTTACATAAATATTCGCTTTTGCGAAGGTAAGCTTGTCGTACTTCACTTTCCCCTGCAAAAACATAAAGATATATAAGTAAAATTAATCTTTTTTACCTATACGCTTTCGTCTCCTAAATGCTTCCTAAATACATTTATCACATACGGAAAATACCTAAGTTCTGCTCAGCATCTGCTATCTCATCATCTATTTCTTTTAAACGCTTCTCATTTGCTTGCTTTAACTCGGCAAATAATGAGTCGTTCATGGTGGTCCCGACATCGTTACAAACGAGTTTGTAATATGGTCCCATTTCGTTTTCCTGGATCAGCTAAAATTTAAAATGTAAGCAAAACTAAAAACCCAAATCTAAAAAAAATACTACATACCAGAAATCCAAATTTAAAAAAAATATAGCGATACCAGAAACGCTTGCAGCAGAAGAAACTAGCCTCAATAAGTTTTTCCCATTTTTCCTTCTTCACCTTTGAATCAATATCAGGATGTGATAGCAGGAAACGAAGTTGTGCAATATCCAAATTCGGTATCTTCGAAATCACCTAAAATTCATTTAACTGGTGTGTTTATATTCGTGAGTAGGGGCAGTCCACTGTCAGAAATGATTAGTACAAAAACCATATGATGGATTGAAATTTTTAGAAATCATGTATAAAAAACTAAAACAATTTTCTAGCTTAATGCACATCACATTAATTTCTGGCAACTCACTTCCTTCTCAACATCATCGAGCAATTGCTGTTTTGTTGTGCTTGGAGCTTTTTCAACCATCTACAAAGAGCATGATATAAGAACTAAAAATTCATATATCTCATTTGCTGAAGAGCTGAAGTCATGAATTAGAACGTTCCATAATTAGCAAATTTGTCAAAATCTGTTTTGCGAGGTAATGATCACGATAACTCATATAATCTGAATCTTGTACATAAACTACTTTCATTTGAAAATTAACGACAAAAGTGCATCACATAAGTAAAGATCATAAAATCATTAAATCTGAAACCACACATTTAAACACAACTGACTTCACAGTGAACTGGGGATAACAAGGGACAAAATTTTCGCTTTACCGAACCGTTTCATAACGCAAAGTATTCGAAGCCATCCCATACAGATCTACACAATTCCTCATATTTACGCCCAGCCTATAAGCGAAAAAAAATCTCTTTTAAAATCTCTAATACATCAGATTTTTTTTTTTGTCATACCTAACAAAACAATGACACGAACTTATCAGGGCATTCCTTCTTATCATGAATTCTCAAACCTCACGCTTTAATATGAAGTAAAAACATTTGATACAATGGTATGCGATAATTTACAAAAAAAAAAAAAAAAGGAACATATGAAAGGTGACGGTTGTATTATTAAAAAAGCAACTAGTCAATGAATTCCGAAATTAAACGACGAGTCAATGAATTCTGGAATTAAATGACTTTAAAACCTTTCAAGTTACGAATATGCGGATCTTATAAATGAAGAATGGTGACTGGCAATAATTACACAACTAACAGCTGCCAAAAATACAAGAAATTAAAACAGGAATACAGTAAACAAAAAGTAGCACATTATAACTGAGCGAGAATCTATCCCACTCTAAAACATCTGCATTTTTCTAAGATAGCTCCTCAAACCAATTCCAAGTCGTTTGGCTTCTTCAGCGCGTAATTCCAATATTTTCTCCGTTTTCATTTTCTGCAAAAACCAAGATTTGGAAAGAAATCAATGTGGTAAGGAAGCAACAGCAAATTCACAAATCAATCTACGCTGCTAGAAGGTGGAAAACATTGCAATCAAGTGGATAAATGTAATAAATATAGTTACTTCAGGTTGCTCCCACAAAAGCATGTTTCATACAATTCACCCATTTTTTATTCACAATATGACCTTACAGACGATGGGTTTTGAAGAACAGGGCCAAAAATATGTTGGATAATGCTAACCTGGTTTGCATAAGCAATGAAACCATTACAAGGTCCTGAAACTCGAAATATAATACTTGATGACATGTGATAAACTTTACCTCAACACCCTTGAGCTGTCGCTTGTTTAGAATATAAGTAAGCAGCTGCTTCAGTTCCTCATCAATAATATTTTCGAAGGCTAGCACTTCTTGTTTTTCCTGCGCAAGAGCTACAGTTGATATTGATGCACTATTGCCCGTAACAGTTTTCGAGATTTCATTCGATATTATTTTCACACCAAACTGATCATTATCTATGGCCAAACTCTTTGTGTTATTGGCAAATTCTGTGCACTGACTCATACCGGATTCTGACTCAGTAACTATATATTCAACCTGATTTCCTGACACTTCGCAACGGAAGTTACCAATTTCATTCTTGGAGCAAGACATAGTCACTTCACTTTCTTTTGAATCACTATGAAATTCATCTGCAACGCGGAGCGCCTTTCTGCTTTTGCACATTTCCTGATCATTAATTTCGTTCGAAGATAACTGTTTTTCACATATGCTTCCTTCGGCATTCTCGCATATTTTCCTTTGTTCAATTCTTTTTTCCTTCTCGTCATCCAACACCCGCCTAACTAAAAGTTCTTCAATAACATTTCAATTAAATTAGCAGACTGAAAACAAAATTCAGAATAATCCAGTTAATGTGTTGTACTTACAAGAACAAGATCAACTTTTAAAATGAACTAAGATCAACCTTTAAAACAAGTTAATTTTTAAAAGTGCAGGAGTCACAAAAGTACAACACGATCGAGAAATATACAAAATAGATTAGTTTGATAATGCATGATTACCGTGGAATATCTCATTTTGGTTACCGCCATCATTTCGGTTGTCATCGAGATCATTATTCTGAACAAACAATAGTTTACAATGTAATTTTTAAACTGACGAAACTACGTTCAATAAGTTCAATAAGTTCAAATACTTACATCCTTCACCAAGTCCACAGTTTCCGCTTCATCTAAATTATGAATTTTAAGTGAGTTATTGTTTCCGTTCAGTCGCTTTCGCAGATTGTAACGCCTACAAATAGAGAAAAAAGGAAAATGAAGGAAAACTCACAGAACGGTCTTATTTATTAGAGAAATGAATATATGAAAAGACACTGTACCAAACGAGAATAAGTAAAAAAAAAAGGAAAAAAACCGTTCCTTTTTATTTCATGAAACATATTTTTCCAGGAAAAGAAGTTTTTATTACCTGTGTATTAGTTGTATTAGTTTTTTTTTATTAGTTTTTTTTATTTTCCTGTGTATTAGTTTTTTTTAGTTTCCACGAGTAATATTTAGCAGCAGCTGAATTCTACAACCTAAGCTAAACATATTGCTAGGCATATATCAACAAATGCAAAAAGCTTTTAAAAACCGCCAAATAATTAACCTTGAGCATGCCACTGATATAGGACTTCTGTCTACGCTTCGTGAGAGTTTCGCGATTTTTGGCACAGATCCTGAAATAATATAGCACTATATCAGATATTCAGTGCTTGAAATAAAGTGATACCATCCTAAAATTTTGTATGTAGCTTACCATTTAGCTCAAATGCGTCGTAACCTAGTTCATCATTTATATTATCGTCTTCTGAAATGGAAGATTATGACGAAAAATAAAGGTGAACTTTTAGAAAAGAGCAACATAAAAAATATAATTATTAGCAAGGTTCAGTGCCCGTTAAGGGAAAAAGCGTGAAAAGAGAGTGGAAATGAATGATACGATGAAAGATATCGACCTTCATTTTACATTTTAGTACATTTTTTTTTCCTTTAATTTTTTCTGTGACATATGAATATACGTTTGCCCAAAATCTAATGAGGTATTCAGGACAGACATAAAGTATTCAATTAACACATGACGAAATGCAACTCTTTCTTTTGCAAGTCAACAAATAATCATACCGCATAGCATTCTTTTTTTGAGCAGGGAGGGAAGGTATCGTTTACCTAAAAGTTATAATTTAGCTTTTTATCGTCTTCATTTTAGTTGAAAACATAAGTAAATACTAGATATATTTACTGAATGTTTGGTATTAACGATCGAATATAAAAGATTGCTGTATAGCAGCAGAATTCCGCTGTTCTTGTATATTTCAACATTATGCAACTTCTTTTCGTGAACATAGGTTTGAATCTATCATTTTATAACATTTTTATAATTCGAAAATAGTAATGCATATACGAAAGTCACAAACAGTAAGATAAAAAAGCTGAACCAAAATTCAGTAGCAAAAAGACTCGAACAGAGGAGTGAAGTAACCTTCTTTTTCATATGAAGTCACGACGCCGTATTCATCTACGTTGATTGAAACGTTTTCTTTGTATTCGATTCTGTAAGCTGAGGCATTTATTCGGGTTCAGAGTTTATAGTTCAGAGTGACAATTTCAGAGCAGTTTCTACTAAAATTAGTGCAAAATTTGTTGTGTAAGCTTTCCTCACTCAATTATAACTTGAAGAAAAAACATATTACGAGAGTCCTATTACTTTTTTTGCTGTAGCCTTGAGAGCTTTAGGTTAAGTTGACTTGCGATGTATAATTGTTGCTCCAGCGATATCTTGGCTTCTTCGATATGATCATACATTGTTTTACGAAAACTAAAAAAAAATTTGCCAAAGTAAAACAAACAAAAATAACCCACTTTTTTACTTTTACTTCCTCAATCGATAAGTAACATGAAAGAATGAAGGAAGTGCAGCTAAGCATGTCGACAAAATTTTTACTGTGTAGCAAGCGATGAGGCTGTTTTGTTAGTTTTCTGAGTGGCTTCAAAATCTTTCCATAACTTTAGACCCTTTGGTTGATAAGCAACTTCGTCTCCATCTTGCAGTCTCCTGCAAATTTTACGTACCTGAACATTTACCTCTTTTTTTAAGAACTGGATTAAGTTGAATTCAGCAAGGAAATTCTCGCTCAGCTGCTTCCTCGATAAGTAAAAGAAATTGTAGCAATTTGCAAAGTCAACAGTTTCATGAATAAATCTGTAAGTTAAGCTTACTCAAAGACGTATTCCCACATTAATCGTTCGTCTCGTAATGTGTATGTATATCGAACAGCCATACTTAATATTGTAGCTGGCAAGAAAGAAATTCTGCAAGTGTGATACATTTAAAACCTATAGAAAGCATAATCCTCTCCACTGGAGAAATAGACAGGCGAATGATGAGAAGTCAATGCGAGGAGATCAATCAATTATCATGTTCGTTCATCGGATTGTGATAACGCTACTGACAATGAGAAATATCCCGAAAGACGTAAGTGACACTTTTTTTACGGTTATGTCCATCGCACGTCTATTCGCATTCCCACGTCCATTACGTCACCCTACACGTCTCACAGCTAAAAGTACACGTAAAGCAACGTTAGGTGCGAATGACAGTTTGCCATGAATGCTGAAGGAATTTGGGGACGTTAGATATTAACAGGCATTACGAGGCATGATAGGAAAAAGAGAGACGAGAGGAGTTAGACATTTGCAGATCCTGAAGTCCTATATGGTTCAGTGGGTCAATGCATGCTGTTGACAGGATGGAGGATGTTTCGTTAACTGATGTCGTGCTATTGTTTTCAGCGTGTCTCCACGTTGCACGTCACACGTGAAAGACGAGGAAGGAATGTGTGTCGTAAGGTGAGACGTGGGAAAGGAGTAACTTATGTTCTGTGGTGGGAGTGATCCGCGTGACTTTCTTCTAACACTGTGGACTTATTCCGTTTCTGAAAATTTTCAGTGGAAGTCGTATTAGCTTTAACCTTCGCGCTGTCATAAGAACTACCGGAGAGTATAATATAAATTTAACATTGGGGTCTTCGCTCTTTTTACTTAGATGCAAGGTCTGTTAAGGGCAACAAATAGTCTGTAGAGGGATGAACTTTTTTTTTACTCTCTAGCCTTTCTAGAATTATCACACTTTGATGTTCTTTGTAGGGATTCTCGTCCAGTATCCGCTTGTACATGATATTCCAGTGAATTATCAATTGTTCCCAAAGTATCATTCCTATATTCATGATGAATTTCATATACTCAGAATGCTTCATGGTAGCATTGCTGTCTTCTTATTTCTCAGGTCTTGCTGTAGGTGCCATTGATTTACGACAGCGAAGTACTGGTAATATTGGTAATCTTTCTTTGCAGGTGTATTTTTTTTTTTTTTGGTTTCCAGTTGGTAGGAGTAGCAAAGCGACTATGCAGTTATCATCTGTGAAGTTTTCTTCTAAAAATGAGCAGAGCAGAAAAATGCTGAAAAAAGATGGGGATCAGAAAATAATTTTTCTATCGAAATGAAGTCCTTGAAGTTTCACATACCCTGGTAATTCTCAAGTTTCTTCAGAAAAAATGTTTTAGTCAGACTCAGCGAAAGAAGTTTACCAACATACATCTTCTGTACTGAACGATGCAGGCAAAAATCTTGCTGTTATTGTAAGTTCCTTTTCTTCCATGGTTGAGATTTAAAATGGATGTAAGCTTCACTATTTCTTTCGAAAACTCCTCTTCAGCGTATTTATGGCATGATTTGATTATCTCGATTACCTCCTATAGCGCATTCTGACTTCCGTTTTCTGTTTAGAAAAAATACATTGCATTGCATAAAGATGAGTTGTTCCACCTCTGCATAATGCGATATTCAAAATTTGTATTTTTTTATTTCTGAAAACTATTGCACATAGCTTCTCCGCAGGCGTTTCGTCCTGACCAGCGAAATTACAGGACTTGACGTTCTATCGTGCATTGATGGCTTCGATATCAGTCGTTATTGTGTCAGAACTGGGTGACAAAACATGGTTTATCGCTGCAATTATGGCAATGAGGCATTCTCGCTTAACTGTTTTCTGTGGAGCAATGGCAGCTTTAATTCTGATGACGCTTTTATCAGGTGGCATTTTGTATTTCTGTATTTCAGCCAGAAAATACATTAAAATCAAACTTCTAATGCATCTTAAAACTGTTACGTGTAATTTTTCAAGCACATCGTCGATTGTAGTTTTCGAAGACGGTGTCGGGAAAGCCAATCTGTTGAATTCGTTTTTCAGTGATATAAATTTATTCGGGGTGTAATATTGTTCTTACACATATTACTAGTTAGCAACAAAAAAGGTGTAAAATATGTATATATTATGTGGTGAATTAGTAAGCAGTGATAAATGAGTTATGCAATAAGCAAGCAGTATAATCGATTAACATCCCTGGTCGTTGCCTTCGATAATAATTTGACTATCGGTTAGTTGATAGGTCGTTGAGTTGGGAATGTGCTACAGGAAATGTATTTAACGAATAGGGAGAATATCGTAGTTTGTTGTCCACTGGTGGCGAATATGCGAAGACGTCATTGTTTGTTGTTCAGCCGTGGAGAATATGCGAAGAAGACGTGTTATTTGCTTGATTTTAAAAACTAAACTATTTCGGATGAGTGTTTTGTAAGCTGTATCGGGGTTATCATGGAGATGTGGCTGCCCTTTGGCATTGTCCATTGTGTAGGTACAATGGATATCATTGTCCATGGTGTAGATACTTGAGATGGTTTTGTATTATACTGTCCATTGTTAGGTTACATTCTCTTCATTGCCTTAACTTTACTTAAAGGATTTCATCACCCTGTCTGTTAGATATTGTAGGAATTTTATTTGAATGTAGTTTTAATTTCGGTAATCCGACAGACGGTGATTTGTTGAGGGATGTTGTTAGTTTGCAAAGAATAATTGTGTTTAATTTTTTTAGACAGATCATGTCTGATATTTTTATTTCCCCGTTCATTTACGAGAAATTTTTTAAGCTGGATTGGGATGGTTCACTCAAGTCATGCCACGATTGTTGACTTACTCTGTTTCTACTGCGCTTTTTGCATTGTTTGGTATAAAGATGTTATACGATGGATATCGAATGTCTCCGACTGATGGACAGGAGAGTTATGCAGAAGCAAAAACGGAAATCCAGAAGAAAGAACTGTTGGCGGATTCTTCCAAAGTTTCTGATATGGAAAATGGAGGAATTACTGTGCCAAACCAAAGGTAATTCAGCTCCATTATTAATTTCAGCATTTTATTTGAATCTCACATTTCTTATTTAGATTACTCTCTTCCAAATTCCGGGGAATTCCGTAAACAGTATAAAATTTCGCTCAAAGAAAGAAATGTTATGACTGCTAGAAAATTTATGTGCTCGCTGTTACTTATAACATAGTAATTTGTGTTGCAGTTCCACACATGCGCTTTTATGTGTGATTTCCGCACTTTTTTTGGAGTCCTTTACGCTCACATTTCTGGCTGAATGGGGTGATCGCAGTCAGCTGACCACAATAATATTGGCAGCACGTGAAAATATCTACGGCGTAGTGATTGGTACTATACTAGGACACGCTTTCTGTACAGGAATTGCAGTTATTGGCGGTAGACTTATTGCTACTCAAATATCGGTAAGAACAGGTACGAATTTCGAGTCTTTTTTTGAATAGTCCATATTTTTTTTGAACTGCACCATATTTTTTGTAGAGTATTGTTTACTTAACTGCGTCAAATGGACTGTTGTTCTTTTATATTTAATATCATGCTAGTGCTAAAGAAACATACATTTATGATCTTATGATTTCGTGACACGTGTTTACTTCTGCCACGAAATTTGAGGTCCAATTTTTATAATTGACAATTCTTATATTTTCTTCCAGTTACATTAATTGGAGGCGTGGTGTTTATCTTGTTTGCGTTTTCTACGTTCTTTATCAATCCGGAATCGGAATAAGCAAGATGAAATACCTGTTGGACATAGCTTTGCGGGTAATCTTATCTTTTTGTATCAATACTTTCATTCTATTCCTGCCCAAAGTGGAACTGCTTAGCTTAGATCAAATATAAAAGGTCTTCCTCCATCAATATTTTTTAGAGAAAAAACGAAAACTTTTCCTAAAATTCATTTGATTATGGGATGCGGTTTACAAATTTCAACATCTCTTTTATGATTTTGTCGTTAACTTATTTAGGTATTTCAGATGAGTTGATGTTTTAACTTGTATAAATTATTTTACTATATTCTTATAATCTTATTAAACATTTGTGAATTTGATTTTCCATAATTTTATTCCAGTAGAGATCTTTTAAATGATTGTTTATACCTTTAGTAAGGTAACGTATAAACGTCTGTATTATTTTTTAAGAAGCTTCTCGGTTAACATGTGATTTTCTTTTTTATTTATTTATTTGATGGCTTCCTCGTTTTCGGAATTTTCACTATTCCATAGTCGATGATTGAAGCAGTGTAATCATTTTACAGTAGAAAATTTCCGTATGCAATTATTTTGAGATCCTGTTGCTCATTTCTTTTGTTTTTTGTTCTCTCTGTACATCACATTTTTTATACTCTTCTTTTCCCATATTTAACATTCTTTTAGGACCTCCCAAAGTCACTGTAGTTTTAATCTTGTTGAAATATAATAGCCTGTATCATTTTGTTGTGATTGATCGCATTATATGTAATTGGAACTTTGAACTGCAAGTGTATTTGGCTTTCTTATTAAATACTGCATTTCATATCTGTTGGTAGCGATACAGGTATTTTATAGATGATTTCTCTAAATTCGTTTTTAGAGTTACGGGTTCGTGAAAAAAGGAAAAGTAATTATATTTAGTATTTTTATTCCCGCACCATCGGTGAAATAAGTGGATGAGTTCATATTTTATTGATTTGTGAATGAGTCCATACTTTTGATTTAATTTTTATGAACTGAATAGAGTTTTTTGTGGAATTCGTGCAAAAGAAGTTTTTACGCTTCACTTTAAAATGGCGTTGACTTTTGTTGATGGAAAGTCGGCAAAAGTAACGGAAATTTTATTACCGTCTTCTTTCTATTCTGATTAAGCAAACTCTCGAATTTTTTGCATATTAAGTGTCACTAATTACTTTTTTAAATTAAAAATCCTTTTGAAAGTCTCTGTGCAAAAAAGACCACAGTGTTGAAGCACGAGCAGCAGGGACTGACTCAGAAAGTCGATACTTTTATGGCTAATGATATTGATTATGTACAAAGAGTGGTTTTCTGTGGGGTTCGTCCGTGCCGGCTTTATCTCTTGGCGAAATATCCATTCAGCACTCTTCTAAATTGCTTGGCAAGTAATGCTTTCGACTTCAAGATCATCTTTCGGTATTTGTAGTGATTGGTTCAGATACATTGGCAGAATATTCCAAGTGATACAACAATCCACAGTTCTTCTGTCTTACCTCCCATAGAAATTTGGAAATGCTGCGACAGAAGTCTTGAATTTAATTAGCTGAGTGGTTCAGTGTACAGTTCATTTTACCCTACGATTTCATTGTTATAACGAGTGGACTCATTTCTTTGGCTTGTACGTTTGTCTGTTTGCTTGATTTTCAATCTATCGTTGATTGATTTGTCGAGTTTTTCTCACTCAACTTTTTTTGCCGTTTTGAAATGAAATTGTTTTTCCTGCAGTACATTTTAAAAGCCTCCGAATAACTTCACAGATGCGATTGCATTTCATTCCAAAAATGTGATAAGAATATTTTCCTGGCACGAATGACATAGAAAAGAGTTGAGATTTTTGATCATGGCTTTTTCAGGTAGTACAATTGAGACGGATCATCATAGTAAGTTGTGGTATCCGACCAAATTCAGCTACTGTATATTGTGATTTAATCTGTCTTATAAGTAAAAGTCTCATTTAACATTGGACATATTAGTTCGCATAAAAGGATATAATGATACAATTATAAAAATTAGAATAACTTATAAACAAGGAATTCTGTTGAACGACTGAAACAGTGAGAAGTTTAATTGATGAAGGACAAGTATTAGTCCGAGGATAAATCACAATTGAGGGACATAACATGTTTGGAAAACTTGCTAGAGGATATGATGATTTTGAACCACAGTTAAGTAATGAGGAGCAGTAAGCAAATCGAATGAATAACCAAAATAAATGTCTACATATTTCTATCGCACCTTAATTACATTTGCTCAAGAAACTACTAAGGACAAGGTAATTGGATTTAAATCATAAAATGATGTGATCAATTGAGGAATAAGGACGAGTAAGGCAACAAAACTAATGAATAACTTGTTATGAATGAGTTAGAAGATAAAAGTAGATTTTTGGTGAAATAAGTAATATCGCGCTTGTGGCATTTCCCAAGCAATCAAATTATTTGATAAGAAAGTTCTAATTCATATTATATTGTCTTTTATTGCTTTCATCTTCCCGATTTCCCTTTGATTGAGGTAGTGTGCTAGTTTCTTCATGTATTCTCGATCAATATTGCTTTCTTACTCATTGCCATGTCAACTTTATTAGTCAAAGTTTTATCAAGCAAATTTTTCACTGAGAGTTATTTCGCAATTCTTTCAGACCAACGTCGCCTCTTTTCTCTTCAAATATTTAATTAATTGCATTTTTAAAATATCCAAGGTTTTCATAATTCAGTATTAAAAGGCATCAGTATCTGATGAAATATTCCAGAATTTCCCACGTTGTAAAAATAATATCTTTTAGAAGTCTTTTCCACGACTAATCAACCTATTGCAATCTTCTCCAGCCAAATTTCGTCCTTCAGGCTTCATCTGTTGACAGGTTTGTTAAGGTGAACATTTTGGTTGCTAATAACATATTTTGGCCTGTGATTCACCGATGAGTTTAACCAGCATAAATCTTCATCCTTTCTACTCTTCTTACTTCTTTTTTCGAAACTCCTTTCATCGTATTTTAAATATGTTTAATAAAACAGTCCAGAAATATTAACGTCCCCAGATTTAAAAGTTCGTTTTGGAACACTTTCCCTATTCACATAATTGGAGATATATATGAACTTAGGTGATGTATGTATAGAAGGTTAAAAGCAGGAATGTTTGAAAGAAGCCTTAGTCAACGGCCCGAAAAATGGAATCTGCCTATTCCTTGCAACATGCAAGTAGTAATTTCATTTTACTTTAACTGAGTTTTTTTTTTTTGATTGTTCAAGGCTTGCAAAGGATTTGAAATGTTAAAATTTTAAAGAACGAAGTTATTTCTATGAAACATTTCAAAAAGTATACAACGAACATTATTTCATCTTACTGACTTCTCTTTTAGATAAGTGCTGATGCAAAATAATGCAAATATCGCAGCGTCTTAAAGATTTGGACATTTATTAAAGTTTATGATGGGAATTCCGTATTCTGAAAACACTCCTTCGCTGTCATCGTATCCTGAAAGGTCAAATTATATGACAGCTGCGTTAGAAACTCTGACTGAAGAAGAAAAGAAAGGTTATCATTTACTGATCAGAAAGAACTTTGTTCAGAAACATTTGTATTTTGTTCCACTGATATTACAAATGACGACATCGACTGACTTACGCTAGATACGTCAAGTGTAAGCCCCATTCTAGGTGAAGAAATGTTGAAAAGCAAGTGACAAGTTCCTAATTTGATTGATTCCCTCCAGGTATGTTTTACGAGCCTCCAAAAAAGACACCTTACTTTTATCATTTTTTACTGAAGAAATAACTTCAATAGGATGTTATTAAATTTATGCATTTTAAAATTCTGTATAAATCACTGATTCAAAATCATTTATTCGAGAATATTTCTAATCACTGATTGAAGTCTAGATTAAATCATCCATGTCGAAATATTTTTAATTATTGATTCAAGTCTAGATTAGATCATTTAATTGGATATATTTTTGATTCCTAATTGCTTTCAACTGACTTTCAGTCTAAAAAGCTCAGAAATTTGTAAATAAATATGCAACGAATGGAGGAAGAGAAAGAGAGAAAGAGAGAAAGAGAGAGAGAGAGAGAGAGAGAGAGAGAGAGAAGAAAGGTCTGCTCT